TAATTGATTATTCAGGCTCTAGTGGAAAAATGGGTAAAAAGGAAGTACTATCCTTGGGTCCTTACTCTAGTCTAAAGTTCAGAATTTAGGGCTTCCCTGAATAAGCCCCTGTTTAAAAAACACACCACCCTCCTCTTTATAATACAAACGGACAAATAACACATTTTACCTTTTACAGAATACTAATTAATGAACACTTACTGGTCAAGAGTAATTCTTAAAGATTCTTATGGTGCCAGACTGAGGGAGACATTTGGCACTGATCTGGATAGCAGCAGACTGGGATAGTTTCAGGGCTGCAGTTAACATGTGAATGCATCCTTGACATATAAGTCATCCTTTTATACCTTTTTTTATCAATATTAATAATATGTACAGAATGCTATGGTCCTATGGCTGCTTTTGAAGACGATAAGATGGAATTCTCATTTGTCTATACTGTTTATTTATTCTGAGTTAGACCAGAGTGTGCAAATTTTAATAGCTACAGCGGGTATAGAAAAGAATTACCTCTCTTTAAAACAATCACATTTTGTTGCTTTGCAGCCTGAAATGAAGACGGACACCGTTTTTGTTTTATCCAGCTGTATTTATTCAGTTCAAGTTAAAACATCCAAGTGAAAGATATAACACCAACTTGTTGGAAAAAAACAAAAAAACAAAAACAGAATCACTGAGTTGGAAAAAGAATCATCTCCTTGTGTCAGTATTTTCTTGAACCACCTTTAAAATTAATTTCCAGCCTTTAGTCTGTTGGGATATGTTTCTACTAACTTTGCACATCTAGACTTTGCAATATTTGCCTACTTTTCTGTGCAGATCTGCTCAAGTTCAATTAAATTTGATGGTGACCATTTGTGGAATGCAGTCTTCAAGTCATTCCACAGATTTTCAATAGGGTTTTAAGTCTGGGCTTTGACTAGGCCAGGGGTGGGCAAACTTTTTGACTTGAGGGCCGCAATGGGTTCATATATTGGACCCGGGGGGCCGGACCAAGAGTAGATGAATGATGTGTATGTGTCATCCATAGTAAGTATAGTAATATTCCCCCATAGTAAGCATAGTAATTAATCCCCCATATTGTAATTCATCCCCCATAGTAATTCATCCCCCATATAGTAATTCATCCCCCATAGTAATTCATCCCCCATAGTAATTCATCCCCCATATAGTAATTCATCCCCCATATTAATTCATCCCCCATAGTAATTCATCCCCCATAGTAATTCATCCCCCATATAGTAATTCATCCCCCATAGTAATTCATCCCCCATAGTAATTCATCCCCCATATAGTAATTCATCCCCCATATTAATTCATCCCCCATATAGTAATTCATCCCCCATAGTAATTCATCCCCCATATAGTAATTCATCCCCCATAGTAATTCATCCTGCATATAGTAATTCATCCCCCATAGTAATTCATCCCCCATAGTAATTCATCCCCCATATTGTAATTCATCCCCCATAGTAATTCATCCCCCATAGTAATTCATCCCCCATATAGTAATTCATCCCCCATAGTAATTCATCCCCCATATAGTAATTCATCCCCCATATAGTAATTAATCCCCCATATAGTAATTCATCCTCCATAGTAATTCATCCCCCCTATAGTAATTCATTCCCCATATTAATTCATCCCCCATATTAAGTCCCCAAGTCCCCCCTGTGTCAATTCACTTACCTTTGCTCCGCGCGTTCCTCTCTCGCCGTGTTCCCGCGCCGTTCCGGTGTAGCATGAAAATCTGTCTCCTATGAGGATCTGCTCCCCTCGACGTATCTGCGCATGTGCCAGTTTCAGGCATTAGCAGCTGATCGGCGATCTCCGGCACATGCGCAGATACGTCGAGGGGGACAGATCCTCATAGGAGACAGATTTTCATGCTACACCGGTCTTCAGGGCGGACTGTGAGAGGAGCCTAGCTGATCCAGGGAGGGTCTGTGTTGTACCAAATACCTTCCACATCTTAATAATAGACTTCACTGTGCTTCTAGGCTTTTTTAAAGACTTTGACATTTTTTTGCATCCATCTCCTGACTTGTGCCTGTTCACAAACTTTATCCTGAAGATCTTTTAAAAGTGCCCTGTCACCCATAGTTGATTGTTTGCTTCAGTTGCACGATCAGGGACTGAAATGCTCCAGGAAAGCTCTTTTTATGCTGAGCTAATCAAATGACCTGATCAGTGTTGAAAGTCAAATTGCTTTTAGTACCTTTGAGAAGGTGATTAGCTAACCCCAATTGAATTTACATCTCATTTTTAGGAGGGGTGATCCTTTTTTCAACTCAATGATTCTGTTTTTGATTTTTAAATTTTTTTTTTTGACATGTTGAATAAAACAAATAATGTTGAATAAAAAAAAACTGTGTTTGTCCTAATTTCAGGCTGCATAGCAACAAAATGTTATTATTTTAAAGGGGGGTGATTCTTTTCTATACCCACTGTGTATGTACAAACTTTGGTGAAGCTGAAATAATACACATTGGATTGATTTACTACAGGCAAATAGATTGTGCACTTTGCAGTTGCACTCTGCAACTGCAGTTGTTCCAGAGCTAAGTAAATAATATAAAGCTTCACTTTGCAAAGAATACCCAATCACATGCAAAGAAAAAAAACTTCAATTTTGATTGCATATTATTGGATGATGAAAGGCAGCAGAGCTATCTCTCATTTACTTAGCTCTGGAGCAACTGCACTTGCACTTGCAAAATGCATAGTCCATTTGCCTTTAATAAATCAGAATCATTGTATGTATATGGAACCATATGTACTTTGACATAGAACAGATTACAGGTGTGACATTCTTTAGATGTTAGATCATCTGACACAAGTTAGCGCTGCATGATAAACTTCAGATCGTTTTATTGGCACATATTAACTCCCCCCTTCTTGCAGGTGGAGTGGATTCCTACTGTGTGCAATGGCAATGCTACTGGTTATCTTCCCAATGTTTACCTTCCCCAAAAAACTTCCACCTCGACAGAAGAAAAAAAAGAAGAAAAAGAAAAGTAACTCATATGACGTGTCCAGTGATGACGATGTGATGAAGGAGAAATCCAGCAACAAAGTAAAAAACGGATGCTGGTGTTGGCCCATCCATTGGATTTGGCAAGAATTTTAAAGGTAAAAACGAAGTCATATCTGCAGCCTTGCAGACTTGCTAGTGTGGTAGATTGTACTTTATTGGTTACTGGCCAACATACAAATACATAAATAAGATAATTACAGTGAGGCCCGTTCACACTTAAGCGTTTTGTAGCTCCAAGCCCAGAAATGCTCAACAAGCAAAAACCTTTTGTTTCCAATAGTCCTTGATCACCTCTGAACATCCTGTTGCTTGTTACAAAACGTCTGTCACTCAAAGTACATGAGCTACTTTTCAGACAGAATTGAGCGTTTTTGTCTCCATAGACCTCAATGGAAACACCTGAAAAGCGCAACATGAGCTTTTTTCAAGAGGTTTTTCCATGCGTTTTGCTGCGCGTTTTCTGCTCAAACAGCAGCTCTCCACCCCTTTTTAAGCAGCACTCCATACCTTTTAGTTGAAAAACACCTGAAGAAATGACTGACAAAAGCTGCAAAAATGTGCAATTCTGCTTCGTAATTCTCTTGAAAAAAACTCTTGAAAAAAAACACTTGAAAAAAACACTTGAAAAAAACGCTTGAAAACATGATGCTTAGGTGTGAATGTAGCCTAAGGGTTAAATATTAATATATTAGGCTTTTCATTATGTCAGATTGGTCAAGTGAACTTAGCTAATAATAAAAACAGTGACAGAGGGCCTTCCCATTCTATCCAAAACTGGAAAGGAACATTTTGGCTGTCAATCCACTTTAAGTAGTGCACTGATAACTGAAGAAGGAGAAAGAAGAATGACAATGAGGTAGTCAATGGTCTAGACATTGTACTTGGTCACTCTGTTGGTGAAAAATGTAGTAATGTTTGATATTATCACATGTAAGCATGATCTAGTCCCATGTGTTTTTTGATTACTGTGAAATCCAACAAGGATAAATTGTGGGAGAATTAGGTGTGAGAGGCCCAGATAGCATTCAGGACTTTAAATGATTCCACATTTTTCCACAACGTAACCTCTTTACAGGGAAATATGAGGAATTGGTGAACCTTATTCAAGAGATTGGGGTCAGATTATACAGGTGGGTTATACTTAATTGCTGTGGTGGTATTAGTTTAATATCACCTTTCTAAAATACAATGAAACTTTCAAATGAACAAAAAAAACAATACCTACCTCCTTTGCTGCCTATAAGTTTTTCCAACACTACAAGTCCAGTTTGAGCCTGGGTTCACATATATGCGGTGTGGTATATCGCATTCCGTGCCACATTCCTGTGCAAATCACATGTGATTTGTGTGCGGTGCAATTGGAGTCATACCTTTTGTATGGCTCTAATCACACCGCACCCGCACCAAAAAGGTGCAGGACCCTTTTTTGGGTCCGCATTAGAATCGGATCGCATGGGTATTCACACCTATGCGATCCGATTCTGCACATCGCACCGCTTTCAGGGTGTTGTTAAATTAACATACACACAGGTGCGACTCTGATGTGGTGCGGAATTTGCACAGAAAACGCTGCGGATTCTGCGCTGCATCAGTGTGAACCAGGGCCGAAGGGCACTACCACACATGATGCTCTTTACAGGTAATTAACTCTTTGCATCTGGTCTAATTAATTTTAGCTGAATACATAACATTGTGGTTTGCACTTGTTTCCAGTATTTCCCTGTTTTTATAGATGTTTTAATCCTTGTATACTTGTCTTGTTGAAAATATTAAAGAACACAACAAAAAACCTCAGTAGCAGAAACTCCATTGCACGCCTTTCATTTCAAGGATCCTACATGTATTGTTTATTTCTCCCTTCATTGTTTATAAAATTCATCTCTTGTCATTTTTAGACCTTCCAAGAGCAGCAGTAAGAATTTTAAGCAACATGACATTCCTTTTTGTGAGTTTGTCATACACAGCTGAGAGTGCCATTGTCACCGCTTTTATTACCTTCATTCCCAAGTTCATCGAGTCACAGTTTGGCATCCCAGCTTCTAGTGCCAGCATCTACACTGGTAAGATCATCATGCTAACTGCTGTAAGGAAAAAAAAGAGATATAATGCCACCACGGGGACCTCTTCTTGGCATTTTTGGTTGGTGATGGAAGGTGATTTGATAATATTGCTTTTTTATGAGTCTTTCCTCCAATCTGAACTTTTAGATTCCTGCCTTGTGTACTTTCTCAGCCCCTTCCATGATCCTCCTTCATGTATTGTCAGAACCAAGGATGTAACAAATGACAAATAAAACGTTGTGATATGAGTCCAAGCCACCACTCTCTGACTCCAGTGTTATTTATCAAGGTGCCAGCAATGTAAATGTTGGGAAAGTTACACGTCTATCACATTTCTATTTCTACCAGCATGATGGCTGTCGGAGAGCTGCAGACTCAAAGGATTCTATTACGGGCCCCATTACTTATATAGTACCAGCCTAATTACAGAATGTAAAGGGCAAATCAAATCACTCCCTTGTCCCTGAAAGTGCTCATAGCCTAATGCTCCTGCCACATTCATGCATTCAGTAGGACCAGTAAGCCAGTAAATCTACCGGTATGCTTTTAAATATGTCAGGAAACCCATGCAAACTCCATGCAAACCGTGTTTGTTGAGATTTAAACCTAAGACCGAGCTCAAATGTAAGAGCAGTAACCACAGAGCTATCATGCCGTTCATCATATTTATTAATGAGATATCTGCAAACCTCCAAAAAATGAAGAGAACCAGAACTGTCAAATTTCAGAATGGAAAATATGGATGTCAGCTATAATACCAGTCAGTCTTTATTTTCTTTCAATAATCCATTATTTTTAGGAACCAGTACACCCAGCAGTGATGTTAATTTTATAGATGGGGTCTAGTTTGTTGAGTTACATGCTGGATTCTTGTATATGAGAGCCCTCAGGCTGTGAGATCTCTTTTCCACAGTTCCTGATTCTGTTCTTGGGGTTTCATATCTCTTACTATTACAGGGTGTTCGCATTCCCACTTGGTTTTTCTCATAATAGAAGTTGAATTAAAGGAATCCAGCAGAGTTTGGAGAACTGGAAAGTCAGATTCTGACTTTAAAGTTCCTAAGACACATAAAAAGCTGCTAGGTGATTTAACTATTATCTAGCAAAAACGAAAATAGCTGTTTTAGGTAGATGCATGTTAACCACTTTATTAACTTGATTGATTCCATCTTTATAGAACGGTTATTCATTAATTAAATATGAGGCTAAAAAAAAGATAGTTGTACAACATTTTGAATATGGAGACCAGAAATGAGTATACCTTTCTCTTATTTTCCTTATATATACTCGCTTTCCACTGGATTATGCATGAATTTCAGCAGTGCAAACATAAGGAAAAAATAATCCAGGAGGAATTCGGGGGAGGGCGGGATGGGGGGAGTTGTCAGAGTTTTGTGGAAGGTTTCTTCCTTAGCTATAAAGCTAAGGAGGAGGGCACACTTATATTGGTCTTTCCCCTGTATCCTTCCTCCTGCACACTCATATTGGTCTTTCCCCTGTATCCCTCCTCCTGCACACACACACATTGGTCTTCCCCCTGTATTCCTCCTGCACACTCATATTGGTCTTTCCCCTGTATCCCTCCTCCTGCACACACACATTGGTCCTTCCCCTGTATCTCTTCTCCTGCACACTCATATTGGTGTTTCCCTTCTCCTGAACACTCATATTGATGTTTCCCCTGTATCCCTTCTCCTGCAGGCACACATTGGTCTTTCCCCTGTATCCCTCCTCCTGCACACACACATTGGTCCTTCCCCTGTATCCCTTCTCCTGCACACTCATATTGGTGTTTCCCCTGTATCCCTTCTCCTGCACACTCATATTGGTGTTTCCCCTGTATCCCTTCTCCTGAACACTCATATTGGTGTTTCCCCTGTATCCCTTCTCCTGCAGGCACACATTAGTCTTTCCCCTGTACCCCTCCTCCTGCACACTCATATTAGTCTTTCCCCTGTATCTCTCCTCCTGCACACACACATTGGTCCTTCCCCTGTATCCCTCCTCCTGCACACACACATTGGTCTTTCTCCTGTTACCCTCCTCTGGAACACACAGATTGGTCCTTCCCCTGTATCCCTCCTGCACACACACATTGGTCCTTCCCCTGTATCCCTTCTCCTGCACACACACATTAGTCCTTCCCCTGTATCCCTCCTGCACACACACATTGGTCCTTCCCCTGTATCCCTCATGCACACACACATTGGTCCTTCCCCTTTATCCCTCCTCTTGCACACACACATTGGTCCTTCCCCTGTATCCCTCCTCCTGCACACACATTGGTCCTTTCCCTGTATCCCTCTTCCTGCACACACACATTGGTCCTTCCCCTGTATCCCTTCTCCTGCACACACATTTCACTTCCCAATATTCATACTGATAATGAGATGGTCCCTTCAGTGCACAGAGCTCTCTAGCCAGTTTTACACGAGGACAGCATGTGCATTAACCCAATAAAAACCAGTCTGCATTGTATGTGTGTTGACATTAACTTCTCAGTGCTTCAGCCCTCAGTAACCTACCCCCAGCCTATAAATCTTAATCCTCAGTGACTTGTCTGCCTTGTATGTGATCTGATCCAAGAACATGTGCATCAGCCGCTCAGTGACAGATATTCAGAGTGTGTGCATTAACTGCTCAGAGTTCTGTCCGCATCATCTAAGCAATAACTTCTTAGTGTCCACCCCCATTCCTCTACACATATGTGATAACCCCTCAATTAGTCCTCAGCCCATATGCATTATGTCCTCAGAGCTAAGTCCCCAGGCATGTGGTATATCTCTTCAGCGTTCATTCCCAAGGCATGTACACTATATTGCTAAAAGTATTGGGACACCTGCCTTTACATGCACATGAACTTTATTGGCATCCTAGTCTTAGTCCATAGGGTTCAATATTGAATTGTCCCACACTGTGGAACTATGTGCCTACGTGAAAGTTTGACCATTCTTCCTGAAGCGCATTTGTGAGGTCAGGCACTGATGTTGGATGAGAAGGCCTGGCTCGCAGTCTCCACACTAATTTATCCAAAAGTATTCTATCGGGTTGAGGTCAGGACTCTGTGCAGGCCATTCAAGTTCCTCCACCCCAAACTCGCTCATCCATGTCTTTTTTGCACCTTGCTTTGTGCACTGGTGCACAGTCATGTTGGAACAGGAAGAGACCATCCCCAAATTGTTCCCACAAAGTTGGGAGCATGAAATTGTCCAAAAATGTCTTGACATGCTTTGGATGCCTTAAGTGTTCCTTTCACTGGAACTAACCCAACCCCTGAAAATGAACTTCGCACCATAATCCCCCCTCCACCAAACTTTACACTTGGCACAATGCAGTCAGGCAAGTACCATTCTCCTGGCAACCGCCCAACCCAGACACGTCCATCAAATTGCCAGATAGAGAAGCGTGATTCATCACTCTAGAGAACACGTCTCCACTGCTCTAGAGTCTAGTGGTGGCATGCTTTACACCACTGCATCCGACGCTTTGCATTGCACTTGGTGATATAAGGCTTGGATGTAGCTGCTCGGTCATGGAAACCCATTTCATGGAGCTCTGTACGCACTGTTGTTGTGCTAATCTGAAGGCCACATGAAGTTTCCAGGTCTTTAGCTATTGACTCTGCAGACAGTTGGCGACTTCTTCACACTGTGCACTTCAGCATGCACTGACCCCGCTCTGTGATTTTATCTGGCCTACCACTTCATGGTTGAGTTGGTGTTATTCCCAGTTTCTTCCACTTTGTTATAATACCACTACCAGTTGACCGTGGAATATTTAGTAGCAAGAAAATTTCAGAGATGGACTTATTGCACAGGTGGCAACCTATCACGGTACCACACTTGAATTCACTGAGCTCCTGAAAGCGACTCATTCTTTCACAAATGTTTGTAGAAGCAGTCTGCATGCTTTGGTGCTTGATTTTATACACCTGTGGCCATGGAGGTGATTGGAACACCTGAATCTAATGTTTTGGATGGTGTCCCAATACTTTTGGCAATATAGTGTATGTTAGCACTTTTGCAAAATGTACCCAGCTCATGTAAGTTAACCCCTCTGCACTTAGCACCCAATATAAAGTATATTTGTTAACCTTTCAGCTCATGTTTGTCTGCTTATGTCTTCCGTTTATGTGCATTAATCCCTCAGCTGCCAGTGCCCAGGGCATGTGCATTTAACCCTCAGTGTGGAGAGCTCGGCTCCCATGCTGTTACATTATAATTACACAGTTTTGTAAATGGGTGCCAGTTGAATTATAGGCACTCTTTTCAGCCCTTGTTGTATATCCATTTGTTTTTGACCATAATTTTAGTGATTTTGTTGCTAATTATGTAAAGAATAGAAACAACTATTTGTGAGTCAAAGATTAACTGTTCTGCTCACTGTCATACCCTCAACACCCTGCACAGAATGCCTGCTGTCATACCTGCCACAATTATCTCTTGCACATAATGCCCTGCCTTACCTCTGCACTCCTGTACTGTACATAATATCCATGGTCATATCTTCCATACCCAATTCCTGTACATTCTGCATACTGTCAGACTCTCTGCACTCTTCTCCTGCAAATAATTCTCACCATGATAACCTCTGCATTAGTGCTGCTGTTGTACACTGCACGCATACCTCCTGCATATATTGCCCCCTGCAATACCCTTCACACTGCTCTCCTGCACATAAAGGGGGACATTTACTAAAACTGGAGAGTGCAAAATCTGGTGCAGCTCTGCATAGAAACCAGTCAGCTTCCAGGTTTTATTGTCAAAGCTTAAATGAACAAAGTAAAGTTAGAGGCTGATTGGCTACCATGTACAGCTCCTCCAGATTCTGTGTGCATTCGTTTTAGTAAATCTCCCTTACTGTTTCCCTACGTACATTTATTGCTTATTACATATACAAGCTCTACTTTTTCCTTTGTATCATTACACAATAGGCTTTCTTTGCTTTGCCAACTCACAATGTAAGTTTATATCTGTGCATACACTAGTGGAATTTTGTTA